AGATTGTGCCGATTGCTAGCCAAAAGTTTTCTTTTTAGTTATTTTCTATAGTTTTGCTTTTGTTGTTCGTAATAGAAAATCCAGCTGATACTATATTTATTTATTTAAAAGTTTTTAAAAAAAAATTAACTTTATGTTTATTTTTAAACAAACATATTGTTTATTAGTCTATATTAAATAATATATTAAGATAAACAGCATATTATGACAAAAGTGTATAACAGCATTATACTATCATGTATTTTTAATAATAATATGCTAATAATAATTCTGTTTACAATTATATTAATTATACTAATAATAATTCTGTTTAATTTTAAACCGGTTCTTTGATTTTTATTTAAATTATTTTATACTAAATAATATTTAAGGTATAACACTATTTTAGCCAAAAAATCTACGTAAGTTTCTGTTCTTATTAAAAACTGTCGGTTATTTGGCATATGCCGATTACCCAACAAAACATTAATATTAATGCTATTAATAATAATATTAATGCTGTAGTTTAATTGCATAATTTAAAGCATTCAAGCTGAATATATATACATATGTATATAATATATATATATATATATATATATATATATATATATATATATATATATATATATATATATATATATATATATATATATATATATATATATATATATATATATATATATAAAATATATATATATATATATATATATATATATATATATATATATATATATATATATATATATATATATATATATATATATATATATATATATATATATATATATATATATATATATATATATATATATATATATATATACAGTATTGGAATAAACATTTGCAACCAATATCAAACAATGCTAAAAAGTATTCCTATTTTTACATGTCTTAAAAACGAAACGAACTATACTACCACAGCAAACAGTTTAGGAGTCTGGATTCATAGCATGCCATGACTTGAGCAATCAGCTGACAGGTGACAGCACACAGGCAGAATTTCGTTGACAAGTGCCATTTTGCAGCGGGCTAAACAAATGCAACTTTTTTGGTTTGTTTTATTTTCCTAAGTCTGTTACATGTCAACGTCACAGAAGTTTTTTAATAATTAAAGGAAGTATCCAGAAGTTTCCAGAAGCATGCAGAAGCTGTCAGAAGTTTCCAGAAGAAGCATCTGGAAGCTTTCAGAAACATCCAGAAGTATCCAGAAACATTAAGAAGCATCCAGAAGCATCCAGAAGCTTCCAGAAGCATCAAAAAGAAGCATCTAGAATCTTACATAACAGGTTCACACAGGTTCATTTTACTATATAAAAGACATGTAAACCGACATGTAATTTAGTCAGTATATGGAAGTCAATCAGCCAAGTATTATCAAGGCAGTTTTTCGAAGTGAGTTTTATTAAAATGTTTTATTGAAGAACATCAATACAGGATGTGAAATAAAATAATGTTTTATTACATCAATACAGTCCACATCCAACCAAGACGTTGTGTTCCACAGAGCATTATTGTATCATCACAAGGTAACTGTAAAACGGTAAGCCTTGAGAAGCATGATTATTTATTTTTATTTATTTTATGAGTTCAAGTGCAAAAATGGCTCCCGACAGTCGTGGATTGGAACTAAGAAAGAAAATTATTGACAATAACGCAAGTGGAGTGTCACAAAAAGGTGTGATAAATATCGCGCGAAAAATGGACTGTATTAAAACTATGTTCCAAATATCGTTGTTCGGGAAAGTTGGCAGCAGATAACAGAGGTGGAAGACTGCGTTCTACCACTTCTAGAGAGGATTCTATAATCGTCAGATCCGTCAAGAAGGATCCCTGGGTATCATCAGTCGAGATACAAAAGGAATTAGAGCTGCCTGTATCGGATCGAACATTCAAACGACGTGCTGTTAAAGCCGCATTGTTTTCTGGACGCCCTGCGAAGAAACCGCTGATTTAACTAAAGAACCAGAAGAAAAGACTTCTGTTTGCTACATCTCATATTAACTGGAATGTGTAGAAATAGCGAACTTCCTTTTCAGTGATGAATCGAAGTTCAACATTATCGGGAGCGATGGCATTTGCCGTGTACGTCGACCGGCCGGAAAATGCCTCAATTTACGTTACTGCCATAAGACTGTGAAGCATGGTGGAGGCAATGTAATGGTCTAGAAGTATTTTTCTGCCAACGGTCTAGGTTCAATACATCGAAACGATGGAATAATAACCCGTTTCATGCATAAAAATATCCTGAAAGATGTTATGTTATCTCATACTGAATGGAATATGCCAATAAAATGGGTTTTTCAGCAAGACAACAATCCGAAACACACAACAAAGGTAGCCAAGCAGTGGTTTCAAGACAACAACCTATTGGTGATGGATTGGCCTCCTTAATCTCCAGATCTCAACCCTATTGAGAATCTTTGGGAGATCGTCAACCGCAGAATTAATCGTGAAGGTGTTCGTAATAAGAACCTAATATTTGAACAAATCCAAAAGGTCTGGGCAGCGATTCCATAAAGTTTTATTGATCACCTAATCGAATCTATGCCTTGAAGATGCAAGGCTGTGATCAACAACAAAGGATTCGCCACGAAATATTGATAGCGAAATACAGCTTGGTCAACATTTTGTGGAGTTGCACTTGTTTTGTTCAGAAGGAAATCAACTTTTTTTAATACTTTTTATTAATTTTTTAATTTTTGTGTACAAATAATAAGCTTTGTGGTGAATAAAACTTGAAAAACGTTGCTTCTAAAGAGTTACATAGTTATTTCTCTAAATTGAAAAAATGCTGCACTTTTATAAAAAGAAGTTAAATTAGCATTATTTGGTAGCACTTGTTTTGTCCAATACTGTATATATATATATATATATATATATATATATATATATATATATATATATATATATATATATATATATATATATATATATATATATATATATATATATATATATATATATATATATATATATATATATATATATATATATATATATATATAATTATTTTGTATTAAAATGAAAAAAATACAACTTTATGTTGGTACTCAGAGTTTCATGCCAGGCGGCAATCATCAGCCATATATATTTTTTTAAATCAAGAAATTAAAAAACCGTTTAAAATATAAATTAAGCAATGCAATGGGATCTGACGTCAAAGCATCGACTAAACGAATTTTACCTTTAGCCTGTGTCGAATTGACAAAGAAGGAATTTATTTCTATGCCGACATTTTGCTATAGTTTCAGTCTTTTTATTTAATAAACTATTGCCATTATTTGAAATAATTTCAAATTTTTCATTAAGGCATAATTTGCACGATTTTGTTGTCAGGTTATATACTTCACATTTCTTATTATTTTCCAATTGATTACAGGACTTTTATCATTATCTTCTAAGTTCCAAACCTCCTTTGACTGCTCTGTATCGTTTCTATACTTGGGGATGTTAAACGATTTTAAATGGTTAGCATATCTCAGTTTGAAAAAATGGCCAGGTTTGGATGAAAAAGTCAGGCGGTTTGTTTGACGTTACCATGGGTGCGTTTGATGGTTCGGAGATAGGTGAGTTTGTTGGGATATTCATTCTTTTTCAAGTTTCACATTTTTATAATAAATATGACTTTGGCTTATACCGCGATGACGGATTAGCAGTTTTTAAAAATGCTACTGGTCAGCAAATGGAGAATATTAAAAAGCATATCACTCACTTATTTAAATGTAATAATCGTAAAATATCTATACAGTGCAACCTCAAAATTGTGAATTACCTCGATGTAACTCTTAACCTCTGCGACCAGTCATACCAACCATACGGCAAATCTGATAATACTTTAAACTACATACATGCTCAATCTAACTAATATACTAAAACAACTACCGCAAAACGTTGATCTCAGATTGTCCGGAAATTCTAGCAGCGAAGAGGTGTTTAAAAAATCTGTACTTATTTATAACGAAGCACTACAAAACTCTGGTTATAAACATAATTTATCTTACCGACCTAACTTGAAACACCAACAAAAGAAAAACCGTACGCGTAAAATAATCTGGTACAACCCACCCTATAGCATAAATGTCACCACAAATAAAGGAAAAAACTTTTTAAACTTGATTGTCAAACCTTTTTCTAATTAACAACAGACTACACAAAATTTTCAACAAAAACACAGTAAAAATCAGCTACAGTTGCATGCCAAACATAAAATCAATAATAAATTTACACAACAAGCACATCCTAAACAAAAATCTAACCATTAATAAAGATAATTGCAACTGCCTTAATATAAACAGTTGTCCTTTTCACAATAACTGCTTGACCAACAACATTGTATACCAAGCAACCATCACTTCGGATAACCCTTCAGTAAAAATTCATACATTGGTATTTGTGAAACATCTTTCAAACTGAGATATACTTACCATTTGAAATCGTTTAACACCCCCAAGTGTAGAAACAATACAGAGCTGTCAAAGGAGGTTTAGAACTTAATAGATAATGATAAAAATCCTGTGATCAATTGGAAAATAATTAGAAGATGTGAAGATGTGAATATATATTGTATATATATATATATATATATATATATATATATATATATATATATATATATATATATATATATATATGCACATATATTAAAAACATATGATAGCGATGCAGTTATTGGTATGACTCAATTATTGTAATTTTTCATTTTCTATTACAAACTTTACTACTTTTTCCAATAAAAACTACCTGCGTAGTTTATTATCTGCTATTAGAATAAAAAAATTATTACCTAATGTCAATTTTTTCCCAAATGTCAACCTCGCTACAGTTTCATTTCCAAATGAAATCCAGAGTTTTTATTTTATAATTATATAATTGTACTCAGAAAACCAAAAAGGAACCAATGGTAATATAAAATGTTGCTTAAAAGTCAAGAAAATAATTTTTGTTCTACCATAAGATTGTCTTATAATATTCTTTTCTTAAACTTAGATGCCAATAGTTGTGATAACAACTGGGGACGT